ATGATGTGATACCCCCCCTCCCCCCCGAAACACACACACAAATTACAAAATAAATCCAAAGGAGATATAAAAACTATCAATGAACATTATATTGAATACAAAAAGAAGCAATTTGAATATATACTATTGAGGTTGACATTTAGGTGAAGAACCAGTTCCAGTTTCAAGATTATCATTCATTTATTTTTTAGATATTCTGTGGCACCTTCAATGGATTTTTACGATATTACTTTTTATTATATCTTTTAATTAACCTTTCAGATAAAAGCAATGGGGAAAACTGACTTTTAAGATTTCGTTCAAGTGATACGTATCCATAGATATGACGTATTTCAGATGAATGTCCTAAGCATGCATTGCTTTAAAGGGAGATTTGTCGGGAAGGGGGGGATTGACCCCCTCCCCCTGAGATTTTCAAGAGTTAAAAGGTTATATGTAAAAGTAACAAAAAACATGTCTATGAACCCATTTCCCCAGGACACTTATTAAAATGGCAACAAGTCATGTGCATTATGAACCCATTCCCCGGGGCACTTATTTAAAAGGCAAGAAGTCGTGTGCATTATGAAAAGAGACCCCCCTCCCTCCCTTCTCCTCTGAAAAGGTTTTTAAGTTTGAGGCAATTAATTTTATTTATTTTCATTTCCTTTTACTTATTTGTTTATTTATTTATTTATATTTGCTTGTCAGAAAACTTCTGAGACTTGACATCTGTGATATTTAATATGAACCCTCCCCCTCCACCCCCCACCCCTGATAAAAATTCCTGGGATGAGTGCTTAATTGTCCCCTATATATAATTTTTAAAAAAATTATTTTAACTAATAAAACTTGTCATTCCTACTATGGCTACATATTCTTTATCCCTTCACAAAGCCATACTGAGGAATTGGAATAGTTTTATTTTTCAATTATGTCCGTTGCCATGGAAACAGGAATTCATAACAATTAATGAAATAATTACCAGTTTCAGTGTGCAGGATTCATTTCTGCATGACCTATCAAGAAAATTCAAGATCATATAGATGACAAAACTATTTTTATGCATATATAGAGTGTCTTTTTAAACAGTGATTTATCGGCATTTTTGAACAAAAATCGGGTTTTTTGAAAACTGAAAAAAGTGATGTTTGGACAAATATATTTTTCTAGAGTTTTGATATATCAAAAGGCACATTATAAATAACAAAATTCTACTGGAATAATTTCTGTTGCAATTTGTTTAAGGTTAGGGTGTTTTAGGACTAAATTGACTGGACTAAAAAGAAATAACACCAAAATCTTAAAATTAATCATATCTTCAATCATGAAAAAAACATATTATTTCAATATTACAATGAAAATTGCAACTCTGGCATAATTTTCACACACATGTTAGAAGCAGATTTGGAAATCACTGGAAGAAAGGAAGTGCATTCCTGCACCAGAGTTTATACTTACTCCTCTAATATAGACTAGACTTAATTCCGTAAACTATATTCAGGTATCACTTGCATATTAATTATCGCAATTTTAATTTAAAGCATACTTTTCGTACTCGGTAAACAGCCGTGAAAGTAGTGTTGGTTACGATTGGTGGATCTAAGTAACTGGCAATTTCTAATGAAACTGACAACGAGCAATCGTTTATTTATTTGATGATACGTCATTAAATTATCGAATCAAAACTTAATTTAAGTGACATAGAAAAACTCAGTTGTGGTAACTGATTTAAAAACATAATGTGCAAATCACTTTCGTCAGTCCCCGATCTTACTCTTGATGGAAATTTCTAGAACGATTTATGGCATATAAAAAAGAAAATATCACTACACGAATATGTTAAAAAAAAAAAAGATGCGAATGGGCATGGTAATAATGGTAATAAAGGCAATTAATAACACTATAAGTTGTAAATATATACATCGTATATCGAAAGATTATTAGTAAATTGTGCTTATAAATTCATCAGTAAATTGTGCATATTAACCTCTGCAAGCATTAGGGCAACAAACCCGAAATGCAGTTTGTTTGTACAAGTAATAAACTTGCTTACACGTAAAGAGAAAAGGTCAATGAATACATGGTGTTGTTCAAATACATGAAGTAAAAGTTTCCACATTTTACTTAATTTGTTAAGAAATTGTGCTTTTTTGTATGAAATACTAGACCTATACCTAAGGTGTAAAAAAGCTAATTTTTACCCCCCCCCCCCCAAAAAAAAATGTGCTAACAAATTTATCAGTAAAATTTGCATTTTTGTTTCTTTTATCTTTGATGGAAACAGAGGACCCGACGATATATATAACACTGTACAATAGGTATGAAAATGTTGTTACTAATACGTAAAAAGAAAACGTCAATTAATGAAATTGATATTTTTCAAGATTTTACCAAAAAGGGAGTTGAGTGAGGAAACGTATATCTACTCCTGCTCCTTAACTGACTGCAGGATTTTAAACAATGTACTAGTATTTCTTCCTGCTATAAGCCTGTAATTAATTTTCAGTAGAAATTATGATATATCATTAGTTTTAGTGTTGTTCTGTCAGCAGCGGTAAAAATTCACTTCCCCGCGATTTCGTCTAGAGTTTAGATAAATCAAGAACAAAACGTTACAATTTGAATAATTTATTTGAAAAAAAAAAAAAAAACCATTCCTAGATATTGTATACGTTATCATATGATGAGCGAGATCTATCTTGGGTATAATGCTCTTTAAACAAATTAAGAATCTTTGAACTGAAATGGGATTTTGCACTCGATAGAAGAAAGCAACATTTTTCAGCAATATGAGATGTTTGTCACCTATCTTTGTGTACATAGTTACAATATACATGTTCCCGGAAACCGCCTTTTTTCACCATGTCGAATATTACCTTGCTGGCACCAATAGAAGCGCTTCATCGATTTCATATGTATCAGTAACAACTTGAACACAAAACATGTCCCTGCATAATTGAAAAAAACACACACAAATATATATTTTTCATATTCATGTACTTAATAATATTTTTTCTCTTTTACTTTGGAAAAAAATTATGTATATCTTATTCTGATTTAATATTGCCAGTGTTCCTATTAATAAATACATGTACAAATAAATACAAATTTATCTCTTTATATTCATTTATCATTGATATATAACTCCATGTGTTTAAGATAACACATAGAAGAAGAATAGGAATAAGACATACAGTAAATACAATTAGTTTTCCATCAAATTTCTAAAAGTGGAAGCTTTTCAAAATTATTTATTTCTATTTACATTATATATATATATATATATATATATATATATATATATATATATATATATGGTGAAATACCCGTGTACATGGGTATTTAAAAAATAGATTATTCATAACTATTTTAATTACCACCATAGATTATTATCTTTTTTTAAGTTACAGATTATTGCTTGATCGTTAGGTTTGTAGTCAATCCAAGAGTTGTAAAGCACTGAACAAGGACTTTAACAACATGAATAATTGATGAGTAATTTATCATCAATAGTTTAATCGTTCAACATATCTGTGTACGCATGGTATCAAAATTTCTCTTAAAAAATTCTAATATTGGAAGGTGTAGATAAGATTTAACTCTGAATAATTGATAATGCGAGAAATCCGAAGGAAAAAATAAGGTTTAAAAAATCCCTTTTCTTTTTTAAACTCATAATTATCTTTTCATGCTAGTGCGTTTGCCACATGCCGCCGAATCTCTCGCATCATGCATATCGGCGCGGTTTTTGTGTCAAATAGTTCCGAATATACAACCCATATTAATAACATATAGTACCCAATCCTCAATCAGAACTCAGAAAGCAGCAGATTGCATGTATAAAGAGAGGAGGAAATTAAAATCTTTAAAGTATTAAACGTATTACAGTGAAATATTGCTTGATTTACCTCTGTCGTAACTCCGACAAATTATAAAAAGAAGGTATTAAATATTAAAGTTGTAAATAATTGTCGTTAGGTTTTGGCTTGTATTCTCCTATCAAACCCAATAATCTTTCAATTATTGAGAATGTTATATGATTTATTTTATACGTTTATCTTAAAAGCAGTTTGTAGAGTGAGTATTCAATGAATAATTAAAAATCGAGAGAAGATAACATTTTATGAACTTCCTATCATTTTAAACCAGTTCTTCGTTCTAAACGGCGCACGTCTTTTATCTTTGTTTGAACTCTTATTAGATTTTAGCTCAAGGAAAACATATAGATATCTGGTGTCCGGAATTAATTATACATATTTATTCACCTGTCTTTTTTATCTCTTTCAGAGTAATGCACAGGCAGTTTACTATATAATTTATGACATTTTACTAATTTTTTTAATGTAAATTTTCAAAAACAACAACAAAAAATCTTTATAAACAGTATTACTTCGAATCAAGCGATTGGAAAATGTACAATGAAATAAAAATATTTTTTTCTGGATCTATATCAGTAATTTATTAGCAGCAAGCAAGACAAATTATGTTAAGTCTAAATAAGCTTTTTGTTTGTTACTCATAATTTTGACCGTAAAATAAAATTGTTACAATTTTAAACATAAATTTACCTCAATATCCAATTGAAAAAAAACCCCACATCTTTTGCAATTTTACAAATTCGTCCCCTCCCATTGAATCAAATTTTAAATAAAGTAGTTAGTACATGTAGCTTGTTTACATATGAACCATAAACCACCAACTTTTTTTTAAACTTTTGCCATGACTCATTATTCTCAGTGTCAAGTCATGAATGCTTCCAACTATAAAATATTACACAATATTTTCATAAATCATTTAAATGTAATCTTTAAGCACCCAAACTCTAAGGTCAATTGGGAAAATTATGGAAACTATTTGAAGCAAATGCCGGTAAATAACTTCGATAAGCAAAACATCGTCGGGATTTTTTTTTTTCAATTTTGCGAAGTAAAAATAAAGGAAACGTTTAGGGGATCATGAAAAAGAATCATCTTCAAATACATCGCTCGGGACTTAATTGAGAGAAACCATTCGCATGAAATAAGTTTATAACTCTAAGTTTACTATATTGTCTGGTCTCGTAATGGTCGGAGGGGCGGAGTGATTTAATGGCACGGGGCCCTCTCAACCAATCAAAGTAAGATTTGTATGAGAGTTTTAGCACCTGTAACAATCTCCCGATTGCGCATGTGCTCTTACCTCCTTGTGGAATTAAGCCGACAGAAAACAGACGCATATTAACTTTTATTACAACTTTATCATTAGAATTTGTCCTGTTTGGACATAGCTGCTTATTGCTTTTCTTATTCGATTATATATTCAAATATTTTCAAGATCGCCTTGCTAATTTCCTTGTGCTTTGCGGAGAGGCTGTTTAAAAGAAATCACATCTTTTTATTTTCATGCAACTTTGATGAACAAAACATGGAACTGATTAATTCAGGTTCAGTGTGTTTAACTGAAGAGGACCACAGAAGTGCATTCAAAATTGTACAACCCCGAAAATCAGGTAAAACTAAATCAAAATACTTCGTATAAACATTTAAACGACAATTCGGTTTTATTTCTTCTTGAAAATTGAATGAACAAATATTCTCATTCAACAGGCGTCATTTTGATTGTGTGTATGTGTGTGTGTGTTTTTTTGTGTTTTGTTGTTGTCATTTTAATTTGACGCAACAAACATGATTGATCTCTAAAATTTCTTACATTATAGCAATCAATTTTCTCTCATTTACAGTATTTTTAAAATAATTTTTATTTCACAGAAACGAATTTTAATATGTCAAGCTGCACTTTTAGAATTTTTTTCCCTATCTAACACATATTTTATATTTTTCATGGAACTAATCAAATTATTGTACAGTACTTTTAAAGGCCATTTCTATGTTTCTGTGAGGTATATTTATTATTTATCTATTTAATTTATTTAATCTACCTATTTATTCATGTTCATTTTAATATTTAAAAATGAATTGTGGAATAAATATAAATTCCTTGTCGGTATAATAAATACATTGCTGTATACATCGATTGGTCTTGATAGTTCATTGTCGTAGATATACAAGAACATTGAAAAGCCGGAAAATAAATTGAATAATTTTAGCTATTTTGCTCAAATCTGTTGCAGATGGATGCTTTGATTTTTTATAATCACATAGTAACTTTTTTCCCTTTTTTACATGATATATATGTATATGTAAGGAATACTTATAACAAAAACAATATGGATTCGATAGCCTTTTTTCATGTGATTTTATTAGTTAATGACAAAAAGTTTATCAGAGATAAAAGTGATGATAATTTGTCCAAACACTTGTTTTACTTGCATTTTTTCTAATCATCTACTATATAAATATGAACATTTTTTGGAAATAAAAATTTCTTATGATTTACAACAAAAAATTCCAGTTGAAGAGCAATGTTCTCCCCCCTTAGAGGATGCTGGCTCGCTGTCATCAACTGCAAATTATTGCCACCCTCGTCAACGAACAGATAGCAGAGAATCCGAAGATTTAGCGACGAAAGGCCAAACATCCCGATTTAGCGCTTTTCGACCATGGCTTTGTGAACCCCCCACCCAGGCAACCGATCTCTCCGTGAAGAACAAAATGACGTCATCATCACAAGACAATCCACGGAAAAGTACATATTTTGTGGTTATCAGTAATTCTCGATTAATTACAAACTTAAATCACCCATTTAATTTTAAAAATCATACTTATATTTTATTTTTATTGTGCTTTAACAAAATATTATATATATATATTTTTTCCATTGTAGCATCAATAATTCCGGCATTTTCCTTTGGCGCCTTGAAAGCACCAAATATCAGCGATATTTACAGATATCAAATGGCCCAGGCGATGTTCAGGACTCCTTATAACGTATTCCCTTATGGGCAACCAGCAGTATGGTCAGACCCGAGATTCTACCGATTTTTAGGCCATGGAAAGGAGATTCCAGTCTCTCTTTTTAAGAACTTTATGAATGTGAGCGAGGAAGGAGAAGTGTCAGGATTTGAGAAAGGTTCTTTTGAGTGCGTAAAGTGTATGAAGCAATTCAGTACGCCACATGGTCTAGAAGTGCACGTGCGACGGTCTCATAGCGGTAGAAGACCATACGCTTGTGATGTTTGTAGCAAGACTTTTGGACATTCTGTCAGTTTGACGCAACACAGAGCGGTGCATACGCAAGAAAGAAGTTTTGTTTGTCAACAATGCGGGAAAAGCTTCAAGCGTTCCTCAACGCTTTCGACGCATCTCTTAATTCACAGTGACACACGCCCCTATCCATGTCCTTATTGCGGCAAAAGATTCCATCAAAAGTCTGATATGAAAAAACACACATACATTCATACAGGTATGTTAAATGCTGTTTTAATGGTATTTAAACATTTTTTTTTTTACTTTTAAAATTAATAGATTTACAGTGCTCCTTTACCTCTGTGTGTCACGGAACTCGATATCATGTATAACAAGGACAAAAGGTGTTTAAAATTAGATTTAAGAAAAAAAAATCAGTTCAAAACTGAGGTAAAAGAGACCAATCTTATTATAAATAGTCTGTGCCTGGACAGGGTACTAAGACTGGTGAACATGTTCTTGTGTCTCTCTGTCACGTTATAACCACAGACGCTCTGGAGAAGTTCACTTGTATCAAATAATTTGTCAATCAAATCCCCAATAAGCATATAATTCTCCATATTTGTGGCTGATATTCAGAGAGCAGCCCTGTTTTTGTCTGGTCACCCGAAATCTCATGGGTCATTAGATTTTCCGTACACTGTTGGTGAATATCATTCAAGGAAAACCCGAGATTGAAGCGTTGGGAACCCGAGAGCACAATCCCCAATGCCTTGGGGTCATATCTGTGTTAATAAAAGGGAACTAATTGGATGATCAGAACACGAAATTAATAAATTATCAGAGATTTTTGTAGTAATTTTATGAGGGTGCTTCCATTTTCTAGAATTTTGGAAAACAGATAGGTATGTGAGACAAATACTGTTAGATTTCTTAGATACATGTATGTCATTGTGCAACATAATACATGTATTCGAATGAAATATCAATTGATAAGGACGCCCGAATAAACACCTCATAGGGTGTTTTTAAAATGAATATCGTATTACAAACAGAATAATCTCACATCAATTGATAATTTATGCCATTGGGGAAGTAATATCATAGATCCCAAAAATATAATCATTAATGTAAAGCTTAACAAAATATCATTGATTAAATTTTAAAATAAGACAATGGTAAATATTCCTTGCTGAAATACATGTACAGGTATCATCACCTTCAATGTTGTTATGATTGACTTTGCAACTCTAGTGTTCGATTAAAGAATATATATATATATATAAAGTACGAAAAAATGAAGGATGAATAGAAAAGGAAAACGAAGAAAGATATTCTTTTAAATCTGTGACAGAACTTTACTAGACCTATTTCGTATATGAATTTCTTTAATTAACCAAAGCACAGAACACAAAAAGATTTTTGTTAAACTTATATTTTCCCTTTTTTTTTAAATTTTATATTCATTAGGAGAGAAACCTTACAAATGTAACCACTGCGGCAAAGCATTTAGTCAGTCATCTAACCTGATCACTCACTGTCGCAAACACACAGGCTTCAAACCATTCTCCTGTACAACATGTGGAAGAAGTTTTCAAAGAAAAGTAGATTTAAGGCGACATCATGAAACTCAGCATGTTGAAGAAATGACTTCATCTAACGAACTAGTGACGTCTTCTACTATTGACGTTTCCGGTAGACAGGAAGAGGATGCGATTTAGAACCCATTTTTACGCTTGTCTGTTTTTGCTCAAATTTAAGATGTTATTTATTTTAATGTTGTGAATGTTCAGTATTAGCTTTATACCTTGGTGTGAGTTTTGTCGATTATACAAATCGACATATATTGTACATATTTATGTAATTCTTCTTAATTACAAATCCTATTTGAATCTTTAACATTTTATCATTTAATGACAGTTATATTTTTGGTAGGGGATTATTCGACTATTGTTATGATTAACCTTTTAGTCTTTCAGTGCTAATAAATATCAATATGTCTCAACACGCCATAAAAATTTTATGCATATATAATAAAATTGCACAGTGCTACAAAATGACATGCATGCTTTATTCATTGTGAAACTTGGAAATTATGCCTGCAATTATTTTTTTCTTTGTATGGGATTTTTTGCAAAGAACATTATTTATTTTGAAATTTAAAAATGACATGTAATTACTATATAAGAAACAGATGAAATATCAACTTTGATTGAAGATAAAGGAGTATTTAAAACTCGTTGTAAACCAAAATGCTCTCTGTGTAAATAGAAACGCGTGTTTCAGTATCATATATGAAAGAAATCGCTAGAAATGAATTTATGCTAATATCTTAATAAAAGCAGCGAATTGGAATAAGCGCCAAATACTTAAATATTTGATAAGCTTAGGAATCATTTTCAATGACGTGTGCTTTTACGAAATGCAGTTAATTTTTGGGAAGAAAATTTGATTGCGATTTTTTTTATCGATTTTAAAATATGTATGAAGTTTTCTTAATGAGTTGGTATCATTTGCACTGAGGTGCCCTACCTTTTATAATCTTCTGATATACTTGTACGTTGACTTTCAACTCAAATGTGTTTAATATGTTTTTTAGGGTCAGAGAACACGTTCCTCAATAATATGTAATTTTTCCCCAAGAACTTGTGATTAAAGTATTGCTACTTTAACAAGTTTTCTCATAAAAGACCAGGCATTTGTGCAAGGTACCTGAGGATGTACAATGTATAGTCCTATTGGATATCACTTTTACTGCTGATATCACAATTTTTGGTGTTTATATTCTTTAAAGCTATATACGAGATATAGTGTAGATGAACATATTATTCGTTATTTTTGTTGAAATTAAAATTTTCACCGATTTTGAACTTGAATAACTCCACGTTTCTATAGTTAAAGTGACTTTAAACTGTGTCTGGTATTTAAATGCGGAGTCGGTAAATAAATCGGTTATTGTTTTAAATTTCTAATATCTATGAAACGCGATTGATTTAAATTGTGTAATTTACGAAAGTCCTATCTTTATATAAAGTATTGAAACAAATACAAAGATCTTTTTAATTTTAGTTAGTCTGAACTTTTCAAAAATACGCCATATATGACTTTAAGTGATTTTGAAAACATTTTAGATACCACATGATAATAATAATTATAAATATTTCTGCTATGTTACAAAGAGATACAAAATCAAATATTGAAGGGATGTATCGTCAGACCTTAAGATTGACGTTTTTATTTTGCCTAGAAAAGGCTGGAGATATATCGACTTCGTTAACATAAGCATATTTTACCTATTCTTGTAAATTAAACTTACTACATTTTGCATCGTTCTTTTTAGGTAAATATAAATCTGTGTACCGCAATATTTAGGAAGACCCACCATGCAGACCGCTAATCTTAATTACTGTGTTTAAAGGGATTATTCCTCGTGTAACAATGAGGCACGTGTCGAGAACACTACAGGTGGGAAAACATACCTGTTCAATATTACACAGGTCAAAAATCCCTCGGGAATATTTCTCCAAGACAATCGTTTTAAATCAAAAGAGAAACAAGGATTAAACGTTCCGTCTTAATGCAGATTTTCATTCTTGTCCTGTTTAAAAATCAATTGATGTTTTTTCAGGCAAGATGTTTTATATCTTTTATTAAGAAAACAAACTTTTAGACATTACCTCTATAGAAATTCTTAGCAGATAATTTCAAAAGTGGTAATGGTACAAATATGCGAGTAAAATCTGTGACTCATGTTGTCCATTTTAAGAATATAACGTCTACTGATACAACAAATTCTAAATATCGACAGAACAGAACTGGTGCCCAGGATACCCACATGGTTCATTTTGCCTTCTTTTCTTCAGAAATTTATATATTTGGACTGATCTTCATATAAAAACCCCATTTTACTTGCATAATTCATTGCCTCTCAATGGTCATTTCTCAGTCATAACAAATGACAACTATTATTCATATAAAAGTTCCATTGTATCTATATAATCCATTGCATCGCAATGTCCATTTCCCAATCATAACAAATGACAACAATTCTTTTTGATTAACAAAGTAACTCCAGCTCAGTTATTCTTTCATTGCTTGCTTTTATTTATTTGTTTGTTTAAATCACATGATGGGCGACCTTATAAGATTAAAACCAAATTGGAATGACATGCAAATATTGAGGTTTTTTTCAGTATTTATGAATGGATGCTATCAAACGAGGGCAGGTACAGAATTTGTTGGAACTGCTGGGTATTCTCAGCCAAGACATCAAATTTATTGTACAACGAATGTGGTGTCCATAACTATATACTTTAAGTTCAACGTTGTATGTACGATTCCCAGCTTGGGAAAAAATTCCCCAATACAAAGGAAATCGAAAAAAGAAAGATGGACTACATAAACTTTTTAACAAAGGGGAGATGGACTCTTAGTAAGCTGCATGTCGCTTTCATTTTTGTTTTCCTTAAGATGGTTACTCCAAAATGATTTTACAATGATATTTATCGAAATAAAGGAAATAGATATATGCTATTATAAAAAAAAGTTGTGCATTTGATAACCGTGTCAGTTCGTCCCCAACCCGGACTTCTATTTACTCACGAAACATTGAAAAGGTTTCCATAATCTGTGTAAGGTCAAGAGACACGGGACTCTGATTAGTATGTACAGTCTGTTGTTTTCTCACAAACTTAACGCTCACCAGGGGAAAGTCATTGATAGTACCTTTACATACACACCTTATCTCTGTAGGAATCAAGTTTTCTTGATTTTATGTACCTCAAGTCCTCAGATTTCTTCTCATTTTATTACTTTCGCTTGATGTTATTTAAATCATACGCATTTTGAGACTATTGAAATTTTCCTCTAAGCTTCATTATGCGATGGGGTAATAATCTATATTTTAAAGTTATATAGTGTGCATGTATTTGTCTCTTGCCCTCTAAACAAGGACGCATTCAAAATGGGTTATGGACAACCATACAGAAACATCTATAATGATTGTCACTCTAAAAAGTGCAATTTTGAGATTTGTTGGTTTAAAGATTGTAGAAAAAAATATTTATAAAAAGTACATTTTACTTAGATACTTGTATCAAGTGATTCTATAATAAAATAAGATTGTGCTGCATAGGCATTTCGTAGAAACTCCAAACCTCTGCACCTATACCCGCCAGTCAGTGGAAGTCTCGTGGCTACTGCTTTATGATTCCTTAAGTTCTTTCCTTCAGACAGAAGATGGGAGACCGTGAGCAAGAACAAACACCTGCAAGTTGTCTTGTTAGCTATTAAGGAATCTTTTCGTTGCCAAAATAACTCTGGGGAGCAGTTATTTTATGAAATCGTCAGAATCCGTCAAAAACCCCAACACCAAGTCATAAAAAGTCTAGTCGTTATGAGTAATAACAACTTCACTGGGACCAATCCCTCTATTCTTTTGCTGGGAGAAGCTTATTGTACCATATGTGAATATTTATTATCAATTTTGCATCATAACCTAAATACGTCTTGTTATATTTTACTACTTGTGACATTTTTTGACAATGTCCTGTTTATACATGTACCTAGTCAAAGCCTTGGGTGAGTTCGAGCTACTAGTGCCAAAGTTGATACGAATCGCTACTTCGAAAACACCGTTCGAACGATTTGATATTTTAAACAGCCATTAAAGGCAATGCTTACAAAGCAACAATTTGAAAAAAAAAAAAAACCCTTAGAACTTAACAGTTTAATGAACGTGAAAGACATTTAGAGAACAGATTTAAAGTTGAACACGATTCGTCAAAAAAATCAGCCACATTTGTCTCCACAAGAACGAACGTCTTAACAAGGCTTTGCCTCAACAATATCATATCATTCATCCATCATACATTTATGCCCAATAAGATATTGAAACACATATAACTACTCTTTTCTGCATACATGTTGTATGTTGCTTTTAAGTAACAATATTCATATGTACGTTACTGCTTATAGGCAGTTTTCACATTTCCAAACGGGCATTGAGTATAACTTATACCCGTTAGGATTTAAAATCAATAGACAGGGTCTTCCCTTGTGGAGGTTCAATCAATTTACAGTCAGACCTGCATGTCCATGTCCGCATCTTTGATTGACCGATGCAAATAATGTTACAGTGCGTACATCAATTCAAATTTGAATAAATCTGGAATTCATCACGTTTGCTGTTGCTGCAAGCCTTCCCTTGGCATTAATGTCAGACCTCAAACGACAACGTCCCTTCCATTCGCTACAACTTCTGATCAATTCTCAGTCGGATTTAACATCTGACATCATAGCATCTGGGTTCACGTAAGGTAAAATCATTCAGCTGATTTTTTTTTTTTTTTTTTGGATACACTTACATATGTTCAAAATGAAATGAAGTACCTTATGCCTCATAAAATTTTGGATCGCTTATTCAATGTCATTTTGGACGAAATTGAGGGACGGATACGAAGAACCTCGAATAATGAATTAAAAACATATCGAAATTAAACTGCTGTTAAAATTAATCATACTTTATCAGTTTTTAATTGGAAATTGCACGCGATTTAGAAACCTCGCTAGACTTTCAATATTTTAAGCAGGAGAGTGTTAATGTCCTCTGCACAATTAACAAGTGCAATGTTTCCATTACTAATTGAATTAAATCTAAGTTTCGTGTCAAAATCCTTGTTAACAAACTATACTGATCCACAGCATTAGATACCCCTTCTCGTGTCACGCAATCATCACGCCTTTCCTCCTTTTCAGTTGCATTATACGATAGTGTCACGAAGACATGGCTTACTAATCTGAAAATCGCCAGAATGATGAGTCTCCAATGTTATAACAGTGAGGCCTGGTACTATTTTATCATGTCTGCTCAAAGCATTAGGGAAATAAGTCTGTTTCAACTGTTGGAATGTGTATTTCCACAACAAATGTTTTCAGGAAACATCGAAAATGAGCGTTAAAGTATACAGTCTTATACCCTATACAAAAGGGATTTCATGTCGAAAGCTTGCTTTAAAGGTGCATAGACACAGACGTGAAGTTTATATTTTCTCAAATTTTCTG